ATTACTTTATTTATGTATTTGTTTATTTACTTTTTTAAAATTATTTATTTATTTATTTATTTACTCATTTATTCGTTTATTAGATTTTTTATTTCTGTCTTGCTTGCTTGCTAGCTTGCTAAATTGATTGGTTGATTGATTGACTGATTGATGTTCTCATTGTATAGATCCATTCATGTATTTAACGTCCCTTTTATCTTTGTCTTCCCACAGGTCCCCCCGTGAAACCGCGAGTATTTCCTCCTACGCCTTCCCCACCCCCTCGCCCTCGCCTCCTTGGGACCGAGGTGCGAACCCTGTGCTCTACGCCAGTAGCCTAGCTGCGCCACAAGCTCTGCCACCGCAGCAGCACCATCATCATCAGCACCAGCAGCATCATCAGCACCCACAGCTGACTCCAGCCCCTTCCCCAGTGGCAATGGCGCAAATCGTGAACCACCAACCACAGATGATGATCCTCCCGACCGCCAATCCGGGAGCCAAGGACTCACGCTGGCTCACACTCGAGGTGTGCCGTGAGTTCCAGAGGTCCAAGTGCTCACGCTCGGACAACGAGTGCAAGTTCGCTCACCCCCCGGCGCACGTGGAAGTACAGAACGGCCGAGTGGTCGCCTGCTTCGATTCCATAAAGGTGAGTACACTACAACCCAAGGACCTTGTTAAAACGTACTGTAACCTCCTTGGTACAACCATATTATTGTTGTTGTTGTTGTTGTTGTTGTTGTTGTTGTAGTTGTTGTTGTTGTTTTGTCTAATTGGTGTTGTTGTTTTGTCTAATTGTTGTTGTTGTCGTTGTTGTTGTTGTTGCTGTTGTTGTTGTTGTTGTTGTGTGTGTGTGTGTGTATGTGTGTGTGTGTGTGTGTGTGTGTGTGTGTGTGTGTGTGGTAGCCTATCCGTTCTAAATTTTTGGAGCACAGAAGAGCGTGCTCTTCGCCAGGGCCACCGCCTCTCTTGGGTAGCGGGTGAGGCAGTCCAACCTCCCTGAATCCTCCCCAAAGAGATTCCACCGCTGCACCTCCGTGGCGGGGCATCTCTG